AGACTTATATGAATTATAAGGCCTTTAGAAACCTAAGGCCTTTAGAAATCAAAACATGATTCTGAATACACAAACACACACACACACACATATATATATGCATAAGACTGGCATAAAAGGTTACTGGTTATCATGCACCCGAGAGTCTGGCTGCAATTTACAAACCAGGCACCTTTATTTGCTAAGAAAAAAAAAAGAGCAATTGCAATGTGGATTATTTATATCAGATCAAGGTTGTTTAAACAAATTGTTGGCTTGCATTTGCCCCAGAACTTGGTACTCTACCTGCTTGCCGCTCTGGTTCTGGGTACGCAGATAAAGCAGTATAAGTACACCCTAGTGACATTTTATTGAATAGTATGGGCCAACATGGGTAGTTGATTTGTTTGCTCATGTGTAACACAATTCCAAATATGTCATGTGCTAGGGGATGCTGTAACCCCTCCTTGTATATGATGCTCTACTAATTGGGCAGGTACTCAATGTTGTGGAAAATGAGAAATTAGATTACTCTTGGAATCACACTCTGCCAACTTAAAATTCGGCTTCAGCAAGTCTGCTTGGCACTGACTTACAGGAGTGTTTTGAAAGCATGGTTGCATGTGGCTGGTGTGAAATAAGTAGGAAACTGGGACAGAAAGCTTGAAGAACTGATATTGGGTCCTAGGGTGATAAGCAAAACAAGGAGAATCTTTTTTGCATTCCTGGTATTATCAATGCGTGGCTACTGCTTAGTGAGACTATCTTCAGAGTCTGTTGCTGGTTTTGAGAGGCAACAGACCATGCAAGAGCAGCTATTCCACAAAGCTGTCATATCCAGGACTGTGTTGTGTGACTGATGAGCAGGTACTCGTGGAAGCAGGAACTAAATCCAGATGTTTAATTTACTTAAAATCAAAGAGAATCATTCAAACTATGACTTCTGAGAAGGAAGTGGAAATTATATCAAGAAACCATCATTTATCAGCAGATAAGACAGCTTATCAACCTAGGGAAAATGGCACAACTCATATGTAGCTGTCAAACAGCAAAGCAGTATGGGCCAGATCTGTGTCTTTAGCTGCTAAATAATTATTTAGGGTCCTGAACAGCCTAGTGTCCCCTTACAGTGAAGCAGAGTGCTGCTGGTAATGTCGGGTGATCAGAGCTGCTCTGACATGCTCTGAGCACACCACCAGCATGCAATGCAGACATAGCTCTATAGGGCAAATGCTGCAGCAGTAATCTCAATATGAAATATCTTCTTTATGTGCCTATTTCACAGATCTGAGTTCCCTGATTGTCCATAATATGTTTTAGTTTGATTATCAAGCCTCTGCAAACTAATGAATCATTCAGGCTGATCCCTAGTTACAGTTGCAGGGATAATCAGCTCCCCGAACAGAGAGGGGAGAGAGACCACTTCTTTAAGGCTGCATTGATGAGGGCACTCTCCATCTCAGGGTGCAACCCAGACACCCTGCTGTAAAAGCGCTATTCTGGCAGGCAGCAACATGACCCCATCACTGTGTTGGGCACTGTGTTGGACATTTTTTTCTGTCAAAACACTCATAGCAGGTAAGAGATTAACTCATTTGCAAAAAAACCCGAAAAACATGCTGCTGACATTGAAGCTTTACATGAAAGGAACATTTTCTCAACTTAAAAAGAATTTCTTTCAGTGTCTAAAAGAGCTTCCAGGTTGTAATTTGTTATAATTAGACTAGATGAGGCTGATACTGGAAGGAGGCAAACCAATTAGTTTGGAATGTCAATTTTTTTTTGCCACTGTCAAAGTCTGTTAAAGGACCTTGATGGATTGCTGGGTTGGCTTTTTCAACATGATAATCCTCATGTGAAAGACAGGCAGGCAGTTGGGTGCAGAGAAGCACATTGCAGTCAGTGTTGAAAAAAAGGCTGCACCTGCCAACATGCTGCTTGGAGGTGACAATGGTGTTGCAATGTCTGAGCTGTGGGCAACTGGAGGGAGAGGTGAAACTCAGGATCCAATCATGGAGAAGAGACTTTCATGGCAGTTGTGAACAAAGAAAGCCTTTACTCAAAGTTGTTTGAAAGGGACAAGTCAGCAGTTGTTTGAGCTAAAATCTGCCATTTTTTGAGCCAGACTACAGACTTTTGAGTGGCCCAATTATGTGTTCTCAGGTTTTAAACAAGAAAAATTAGTATTATCACATGCTAACCAGCAACCATACCCCTAGCTTCAATCTCTAATTACTAATATCTTATAAATGCCATCGTCTTTGTAGCATCTTCTGCAGTACTGAAAAGAAGGAGTTATTGGATAAAACCGGATATAATTCCCATGATTTTAATTGGTAGAGCTCTATTATTTAGTTTAAAATTATTTATAAAATGTAGTTAGTGTCATATCCTAGCACTAAAAAAAACCCTTTCAGTTAATCCAGGCTCTGAACTGTTTCATTTTAGAGAACACTTTCAGATCAAAATTGAACTTCAAAAAATTTATTTATTTCAAACTTTTGTGTAAAAAATCTCTATGAATATGAAAGAGTCCAAGCAGTAATTCCAGAAATTGTAATATATAATCACTGTATGTCACTGCACCAGGAACAAAACCAGTTCATTTCTTTCTATAGTTTTTGTTTTCAGGTCCTGAAGACATCAGCTGCTCTTTTACAAAACTGGTGGTACCTGACTCAGTCCTGGGTGAACATGTAGTGCTATATTTCTGTAGTTACATCTCCAGTTTTTCTGTCAGTTAAAGTACTATGGCAAATCTGATTCTCTGGGAAAAAAACTGAATTAAGCAGAAACCTGAGGAAAGGAAAAATAAGTCTAAAATTTTGAAGGATAGATTTTCAGCTGCCCTAAATTGTAAGAATATGACTTACTAATGCCACCAGAACAGTTTGCAGCAACTGATAATATCTAAAAGATTGTCAGCAAATTCTGTTTTGCTGCAAAAACCTAGTCATTTCCTGAAGTTGCCTGTTACAGTAAAGCTTAGGAAAACTATTCAAGTTTATTTAGAAAGTTAACATTTATTTCCTACATAGCTGGCACATCTGGGACCCACCTAACACCTTATTGAAAGTATATTTTATAAAAATAAAGGAACTACTGCTCAAGGCTTTCTACAAAAATGTTAGCCAATATCTTCTACTATATTGCAGGACACAGCAATTAACATTCAAATCCACTTATTATTCTCAAGGTGTTTTTCCTCTAACATGTACAAGTTGACTGATACTATTTTGTGTGTTTCAGTCTAGAAAAGAATGACAGTTTCTTTTGGCATTGCCATCTGCCTTTTGGCTGGTTCTAATGAAGACAAATCCCTCTCAATCAGGATTGTTCTGTTCGTTAAGTGAGACAGATGGCACACTCACTGTATTGGTAAAGATTCTGAGATTTTAAGTGTATTTGGGATATACTGGATTGCATTCCCCAGCTAAAAAGTGATCAATATTTCAAATGGAAGAGAAGTCAGGTTCTGTCTTTGCAAAATTTTTGTGACACATACACAGTTCTGAAGGACTTACACAAAGACAGGGTTTAGACACATTCAGACAAATTTGTAAAACATGGTCCAGCAGACACGTCTGTCTTGGCAGAAAATCAAATACATACTTCCAAACAGTGTTGAACCTTTGCAACCAAGGGGAATGTAGTGCTCCTTCCTGTTCCTCCAATCTGGTCCTGAGGGCAGCACTGGGTTCTGTTGGAGACCTTTAATTTGCTAGCCCATAATAATTAATGCAGGGAAATTAATGATGGACTGTAAAGACCAAAAGGGGAACAGTGTTGATAATGGGAATCATTGTGCTAGGTGATACATCCTGGCCTGTCTCTGTACTTGAGAAAGTTGAAGCAAGATGGCTTCTGGAAACTGTCAGACACTGAAAGGTGCTCAGGTATTCCCATCTCTGAAGTTCTGGAGCCATTACAACACAAGACTGAACACACTGGCTGGGTAGACATCATCACTGTTTAAGGCATCATGTAAAAAAGAAAAATAAGCTGTTGGGCTAAACAGAAGTAATATATTATAAAAATAGATAAAATGTGTCTACCTTATTGAAATATTACAGATATAAAGCAATCCACACTGTATCTTTTTCATGATGCCTCAAAAATTATATTATACCTATTAATTTTGTGACATAGTACTTGGGTTTTAGTGCTAAGATGAGGTTTTCAAGATGGGACAAACCTGGTACTTTGCAATATTCTAGAATATAGGAGAAAAGAGCATATGAGGGAACACACAAATACATGAGAACAGATGGCATCTTCATACAAAGTATCCCTCTTTCTGGCCCAATCTGACTTCACACACACAGTCATACCATCTGAGGTATATCCAGTCCCAGAAATACTACTAAAGGTTCTTTTTCAGTTGCTGTTTCTTGTTGTCTTTCTCTTAATACTTACTTCATACTCGGTTTCAGGGAAGGTTAACCAAAGTTCAGGTTGTGTTTTCTCCGAAGTTGGTGACGTCTTTGAGTTAACTAGCTGGAAAGCAGATGGATGCATCACAAGACCCTTGCTGCCTGAAAATGATAGACTCTACTTCCATTGTATTTCTTACCATCCCCAATAGATTCATATTGGTAAATAACACAGATTTTAGGAGGGAAAGGATCAAGACAAGCTTTCGTCTAGCTCTCACCTGCTCAGACTTGACAATACACAATACAAAGAAGACTGCAAATTTAGGATCTAAATGTTTAGATCAGCTGAAGATTGCCTAGGGTATTTATGAAGGAACTCGGAGGACCTCTGTTCAGTCTCTGGTGGAGAGGTAATGAAACACACACCAAAAGGAACGTCCTTCTTGACAGTCCCCCCAAAGAAACCATGAAGTTAAAATAGTGCAAAACCACAAACAGTCCCAAAACCCCAATGGAAACACAGAGGTTCTGTAGAGACACATGACTTTCTGGGGCATACAAATCTACACAGCACTTTATATTGTAATTAAGAAGAAAAAAATAAAATGTTCTGTTAAAAAGACTGCCAGTTCTCCAGATAAAATAGCTTTGTGTATCACTTTATGCTAGTGGTGACAGAATAGAAAACAAAATACCACAGTTACATACATGTTCTTTGTCTAGAAGTATTTACAAATAACTTTACAAATTTTTACACACATTTTCAGTTTTGCTTGTTTACTTTTAAATTAAGAGAAAAATTAGTCCCCAGAGGCTTCTAAGGCTTCAGTTGGTACCTTGTACTGTACATTCATGCTTGGCTTCTTCCTGGGAGAAGGGAGGAAAGGAGTTTAAAAATGTGCAAATCACAGACATCTAAACAGCCCTGGATGTAAAGGTTCCTGGAGACTGACACCCATAGAGCGGTCGTCCTACTTCTCTTCAAATCAGAGATAGCTTCTGGTGGTGGATTCAGGGCAAAAGAGACTATGAAAGGAAAAGGAATCATATCTGAATTGCTATAATTAGGTGAGTATGTTAGTGCTTGAACATCTGGGTAAGAAGAGTCATAGATCAATTCCTACTGCATTCAGCAGTTCAAACAATGCAAGGAGTGGACATTGTGAATTCTAAATATAGCATTGAAATGATCTCTTGTACACTGTTAGGATTTGACTCCTGTTGCATATTTTGGAGTCAAAACTACTGTTAATTTACACAATCTTGACCAGGCACAGTATGATCCTATCAGTCAAAAAATACTGACATTTTTTAGAAAGACACACCCTTCTAGTTTTCACAGGTTGTTTTGTTTTCATGCCTCAACACTAAACGTTGTAAAAATATTGAAATTAAAAAAGAAAAAAATTTACAATTTACAAGTGTCCTTATAAGTAATCAGAAATTCAAGATCATCTACAAAGATCTACGAAATAACAATGCTGATAATGACACTGAGCCTGTGGGAAGAACATTCCACATGCCGTGAGGAACGGATGGTGGGTTTCTTCCAGAACGATGAGTCACAAGGTTGGTCTTTTCTTCTAAAATCTGTTTCTTCAGCTACAGCAGCAGAAGTCTTGAGTCCATGTTCATTACTTACTTCGACCTAAAAGCAGGAGATATGCATTACTTACAAATGAAAACTTATTCTGTTTACCTCCTAATTTGTGAGCTGTAAATTCATACCAATGGAGAGGTTAGTAACTAATGAACAAGTGGATAACTCTCATCTGGTCACTAATTTCCTCAGCTGTAAGACTCACATATAAGGTCAAGGACGAATAATTAGGTACAAAGCAGTAGCTTTGTATTACGTATACCACAAAAGCAAGAAACACTTGGGGAAAAATCCCACAGCTGGTGAAACATGTCTAAAGCTCACACAATAACAGATTCAGTTTAGCATAACATATTTTAACAGTGTAAGATGCATTTTCACCGGGTTGTAAAATTCTGACATCACCTGCTTATAAACTTGTGCATTTGAGCTGGACTCACACTATTTATAGTTCTCACCACAACACACCTGCTGAATCGATGTGTTCTCACATGACTCCCTGTACATCACGTTTACTTGTGTAATCTTGAAAAATCTATGTTGGTCTTTCAGAGCAATTTTAAGATGGGTAAAGTCTCAGGGGAAGATAAAAACAGGACGGGATCACACAGGTCCATCACAGAGTAATAACCTCTCCACTGTCACATTTTCTCATATACTGAATCAGTTCCACGAGCAGAAGTTAGCAATATTCTTAGAAATGCTAGGGACATCCCTAAATGGAATTAGGGATTCAGTCTGTTTAGATATGGTTGCCCAAAGCTATAGTAGTTTTATTTTACTATATTATTATTATTACAATCATCATAAAAATTATAATTACTATATAACATTATTATATTAGTTTCTGACACTATTATTGTGATAATATATTATTAATGTATTATAATACAGTTACTATTAATAAGAATAATATCTAATGCAAACCAAAATGCAACTACTTATTTTTTTCTTCTAGTTGCCATGCTCCTGTCTTTTCCAGTGGCAGTACATGAAGCAATTCTAAATACTACAGAGTAACCAGACTCTTGATACAGACAAATAGACACAACAGTCTTCTTTATAGTCCTGGTGCTTTAGTCTCAAATAGAACATGACAATTGTTTTTCCACTCTGTTTCCACTGTTGTCGCCTGCCTTATACACATCTCAGTTGAAACTGTGTGATTCAGGGCAATGATCCTGCTTCTTGTCCCATAGCCTAATGGAGTTATAGCCAGAACAAAGAGCAGACAAGCAAGCTATGATGATTCATATTTGGATTAAAATTTGTTCCCCATGGGAACAAGTTCAAATTTAACCTCTCTGAGGGGTGAAAAGGAAAACTAATTTTAGTCTTGCTAATCGTTAGTAATTATGGTAGTACTAAGTAAAAATTATACTGAGTATGGGTACTTGATAAAAACAGACTGTCTTCCACATGGTTTGGATGAGACCACAGAGTCTTGTATTTTCAATGGGTGATGCTTAGTTAATTTATGAATGAAATAAGGGAAATAAAAGGGATGAGAAAAATGGAAATACAGCCAAGCTTTAATCTATAAAATAACATTTATGAAGGCTTTTAATGTATTTTTACAAGCATTATTCATGTTCAATTCTAAGGGAACAGAGATGGAGTTTTGCACAGCCTGGGCCCCAGAAGTCACATTTATAAGGGATACTGTGGATTCTCAGACTATATATAACTGATATAGATAGCAATTCACTTATCAAAGGAAGTCAAGAAGGGAAATGAGCTGCAGAGAGATAAACACCTGCAAATTTCTGGCATAATCCACTGACAAAGTTCTGTCCAGCAATTTGGCTTTTAATTCAAATTTTGATCACTGATAGTAATTTTCCTCCCAGCTTATGTAAAGATACTCTCTGTATCTTTCAATACATAAACCCAAAACATCAATAGGGAAGACAATACAATATAGTTTCCCTCTCAGTTTTATACTTCTTGAAGCAATAAAGAAGCCAGAGAGGGTCCTCCCAGCCATACAAGAATACACATACATGGGAAATGGGAAGATGCCATCTATTCTCCAGTATCACCTCACCAACAACTCCAAAATCCTTTGAGCTACTTATCGAAAATCTGCCAGCAAAGAACAAATTATCAGATGTTGTGTTTTTTCTACTGCAAAATGAATTAAAATATTTTGCAGGAATGTATTTTAAGTTTTCTGTGAATATGTCTTTTATACTCTTCTTTAATTATAGTAAGTTCGCTAAGAAGGTGTTAAACATTTATTCACTTAATTCTTACAACTAACCTGAATGCAGATTTAAAGATTAAAATCTTTCACAGAGAGGTGTAAATGCTGTAGGTGCAGCTTTCTTGCTCCTGAATACCAGTTTAACTTTTTCCTCTAACAGCTTATTCAGAAGGGTCAAACTCCCATTTTGCAGTTGCCTTTCCCACAGAAAATGCAACAAAATTGACATTTAATGAAATATTACAGAAAACCATAGATTTCAATGTAGGGCACGTACTTAATCAAAAGCCAAAATGTTCATGTGGTAATGTGATATTTCTCCTTATTCTAGCATACACCATATTTTGGGGCCTTCATAATCCTAAAATGTTTAGCTAAATATTTAGTAAATTTTGTCTGTGTTTATTTCTACAAACTGAAAGCTGCATCATGAATAAAATATATTTTTAAAACATGCAAAAATTAATAAAGTCACAAACTTCAGGTGTCAAGTTCCAACTCAAAACATTTGGTTAGCAATTGTCCACTTTAAATTAAAACCCCAAGTACATGTGCACATGCATACACCAGGAAAAACCTTCAACCCATTTTAATTCTGTTAACTGATAAATAAAATACAGTAAGTCATTAAATCAGTTTCAATTACCTGTACATGGGTTTCGTGTTGCATTTAAGATGCATGAAAGGCCCAAAGGTAAATTTAAAGACAGAAAGTAACAGCACAACTTCCAACCATATCAGAATTTCTAAATTAACATTTTCTGGTTTACCAATAATACTTTGCAAAATCATCTATTTGAAGTTATACAAGCTTCTGCCAAAACATATGTACTAGTAATGTCTCCCCATATCTTAATTTATTTCAAATAAAAAGAATAGATATGCATCCAAACTTATTCATTAGGTAGCAGAGCAGGAAGAGTCTATGAAAACATATGATTTTCATGGTGTGAGCAAATAAGTGATGACAAAGAGATAATGAACTTCCAGTGAAACTTGACAGATAGTTAGATTTTAAGCTGACTAGTAGTTTTTCAGCAAACATTTTTCTTTCAGTAGCTAGACAAATGTAAAAGCTTCTGCTTTTCTATAAATGGGTTAATCTCATTAAGATTTCTGCAGCAGCAGCAGCCATAAACCAGCTCTTTTCTTACTAAAAAGTCAGCAGGGGATCAATTCCATCCTTCACTGAGAGGCTCTCCTTGCGTTAAGATGAGGCACAACATGGCAGACATGGTGCTATCTACTAATCCTTGTTTTAGCGGGTATGTCATCAATGACAAAGTGCCCTCACTCAAATGTTTTATGCGGATTAATTTTTAATTAAATTCTAATTTAAAATATAATTAAATTATAAGTAATCTGATGCCGAAATTATTTTAGGAGAAGGTTAGCTTTCAGTTCAGTTAGAAGGATTAATGTAGTCCATAGGACCAGAACCTTACCTATAGGCTTTACAGGCTTTAACTCAACATGTTCCTGGGGGGGCTGTCGGTAGGAGTATGTGTCAAGTCCGCCTATGAAATCAACTGAAAACACAACAGTTCCAGAAATGAACAAATGGAAATGAAAATATGTCAACTGAAAAAGAAATACGGACAAATTATGTTTAAAAAAAAATAGTAAGCGCATGCACAAGTTTGCACACAAGAAATAAACCAAGTAGGTAAAGATGCTGTGGAAACTGCTTACAGAAGGCTCTGTGCTCTGTCTTCCTTGGGGTCTATTTAGCCCCGTGCCTGCCAAGACAGGCTAGCATTTGTTTGACAAGAAACACATGCTCCTGCCAGTGTGAGGCACCACTGCCAAGGGGGCGTTCATGGATGTGCGGAGTGAGTGAACAGAAACCACCAAAGGGTAATGTAGCTGATTCTCTTTAGGGCAATCTCACCATATATATATATATATATACACACATATATAATTTTATAATATATATATGTAATATATCTAAAAATATAAATATATTTATATATTACCCTTTAAACTCCTTTTGAAGAGTTTAGAAATTTAGGCAATGGAAACAGTTTAGCTTGTGAACCTAATTTCACCTAAACTCTTAAAGCTCAATGGACTTGCAGGAATGTAAAGCATCAACAAAAAGCAGAGGTGTGAGCACTGAGTTAAGAATAAACAGGTGATAACTAAATGTGAAAAAACAGCAGCGTCTTCACTCAGTGAACTTCTGGGGTCAGGAAGCCTTCCCAGAATCCTTCCACTTTCTCTCAAGGTTTCTATGTCAGAAATAATGTGAGGATATTTGCTCTTGAGAACTTTTTAGTTCCTTCTATGGTCATAATGGTTTTAAAATAAGATATTTTAGTCTGAATCTTGTATTTTGTGTTTTTGGTAAGATTTTAAGCAGTTTCAAGATGCCACAAGTCCAAGCTATCCCAGAAATCTTAAAAGCAGATTTGTGAAAGGCTATTCTGTTGATTTTGAAAGGCTTTTTGCAGACCCACTCAGAGCTGACAAATTCACAGCACATTAGGATCCTTTGCTCACATGGAAAACAACTACCTTCATTTGTCCTAAACAGAATTTGATACTCATTGTGCTAATTGCTGTGTGAGAAACACCTAATAAGAAACAGCCTCTTCCCAGTCAATGTGTGCACTAGGTAGACAAGAAAAAGTGCTCATCTAGGATGAGGGGATGGCAAAATAAGGCTTAGAGATTGAAGGACTGATGAAATACCTACTGGTTTACCAATAATATTTTGCAAAATCATCTATTTGAAGTTACATGAGCTTAATATTGGAAATGCTCCTGTTGGTTTAGTTGTCTCTCCTGAGTCCAGGAAAGAGGTAACTTGGATGAAAATTGAACTTGATGTACTTCAATCATACAGCATCACCTTTGCCCCAGGGCTGTTTTCTCACAACTGTCTGAGCAGGACATAATGTTGAAGAGCTAGCAGGCCTAGTGCCAATCCCAGTCTATATCCACCTCCTCTTTCTTTCATGCTGCAGCTCTCCTTCGGAAAGTTGTCACTAAATGAAACAATATACATCAAAACTTACTTCAGCACTAATGGGACTGAAGCCTTACAAAGGAAATATTTGCAGATAAATTTTTGTGAAAGTTCATTTTTAAAATCATTAAATCATAGAATGGTTTGGGTTGGAAGGGGCCTTCAAGATCATCTAGTTCCAACCCCACTGTTGTGGGCAGGGACACCTTCCACTAGACCAAGTTGCTCAAAGCCTCATCCAGCCTGGTCTTGAATGCTTCCAGGGGTGGGACATTCTGTTCCAGAGCCTCACCACACTCACAGTAAAAAATTTCTTCCATTAGGAAGAAACCTACTCTCTTTCAGTTTGAAGCCATTCCCCTTTGGCCTGTCACTCACCACATGCTCTTGGAACTAGTCTCTCAGCATCTTTCTTGTAGGTTCCCTTCAGGTAGTGAAAGGCTGCAATTAGGTGCTCATGAAGCATTCTCTTCTCCAGGCTGAATAATACAAATTGTCTTAACCTTCTCTAAAAGGAGAGGTGCTCCATCCCTTTAACCTACTTGGTGTCCCTCCTCTGGACTTGCTGTGAACAGGTCGATGTCCTTTGTGTGCTGGGAACTCCAGAGCTCAGTATGTCTAATATATTACCTAGTTACTGAACAATTTTTTAGAATAAATTACAACTATAGTTTTGTTTGGTTTGGTTTTTTTTTTTAGTTATGTACTTTAGTTTTCCCTGATTTCTGAAGGTTTGGGCATTTTTGTTTTGTTTTGTTTTGTTGTTTTTTTACTGAGCACATGTTAACACAAGGAGTTAAAAGAATGTTTTTGAGACAATTCCTCTCAGCAGTCACAGGCATCATCTGCAATTGTAAGCATGGAGACCACGTAATTAGCCCTTCCACCAACAAATCTTTTTGAGCAAGAAATGAAGTCAAGAGGTATTAATGATTGACAACATAGATGTGTCTTTGTCTGACAAAGAGAATGTATTTAAAAACACCATACAGCAGATGTTCAGATGAGCTGCTCAAACCTATTTAGCCAAGGCTTTCCCTTTCGCAATATATATATATAGAATTAAAGTTAAAATTCACCTTAAAATTCGTGTGAAGCTAATTCTCAAGGCAAGAAGCTGCTCTATCACACAAGACAATGGAATGTGCCATTTTTCATTATGCACTCTATTTTATAGCTGATAGCTCTTTAATACGAAGATTCATCATCAATTATTTGAATAATTCAAGTTGCTTTTAGTTTTAAAAATTCATTCTGATTTTACCTGATATTTTCATCACTTATAATTAGTATACTTCCAGGACTAAGACCACAAATGGCTATTAAACAGAGAAAATTGAATTTTTATTTTCATTGGTCACAAAGACATTACTATGTACTTTTCAGTGCAAATAAACATCAAATACTTTAAAACTTCTGGATGCATGCATACCTCCTTTTAATAGGCCAAAAGTAAGCAGCACATTTTTACAGGTTTTCCAAAGGGAAAACATTGGTTTAAAGATGATATAAAATAATTGTTTTTGTGTATTTCTGGCCTGGTTAATGGATTATGGATAATTTCTGTCACAGATTCATAGGACTACAATAATTAGCTTCAGAAAATTGCATATGTCTGGAAGAAACTTCAGCAAAAAGCTCAGGGTTCTATACAGTTCTATAATAGTATGCATTAAATTAAAAAAAAACAAACCCACAACTTGTTAGCAGTAGGGATATTCAGTCACTAAACAATGAACACCCCACGTAGTCCAGTCATTAACTACAGTCATGCAGAGAGAAACTTAAAATCCCAGGGAAAGGATTTTTTAGCATCCCACAGATAATAGCAGGTTATAGAAGAAGCTGGTTATTTTATCTGCAGCTGGCTGCAAAACATGATCCATATTCCCAGGGAATTGCTCTCTCCTTGTGTCACCTCAGTTTTGTGGTCATGCTGGATGCTTAATGGCCAGTATGAAATGTTCCTTTAGAGTTCACTACCTGCTGTGCTTGGAAGTGCAAATCGGTGCTGTCTGTCCACTGTGGGCAGTCCATTAAAGTGATGTTCATTCATTCATGGGCCATATCAGAGGAACAGTTGTCATAATCTGCCTGAGCGAGAGAAGTGCAACACGCTGCTGGCTGAAGAAAGTGTAGCCGGCGTCCTCAGTAATTTTGAGGGTTATTCTTTTCTAGACAGGTGACATTTTTGTTTGCCTTACTACTATTTATCCAGTGCATTCGCCCATATGTCGCTTAAAATTTGCTTTGCTTTGAATGTAGCGCAAAAGAATCAGAGCTCTGAAAAAAAATCCTTTCTCCTTTTCCACCCTCTCATCTGAAATTCAGCTTCTCTGGCAATATCCCATTCACCTATTGGCAGGCCCTGTGCAAAGAGCTGCCAGAGCTTGTCAGCTCATTGGTATATTACTAATTTCTTTCAAAGTTGGCAAATTCTAAGCGTGTCTGGAGGTGTAGGTTATGAACATGGCAGCAATATGCCAATAGCACAACTCTCAGTAAATCCTGCAGTCTCTTGGCCTGGAATACCTTAGATCCTATTGATGCTTGCCTCCCTTTTTTATAAATGACTGTAAGCCCCAAAACTGATGGTTTGAATGGCTGGCATCTCCAGCTGTCCCCTTTCCAAGAGAGGGGCAGACTAGCAGCTGCTTGAACTTGTGTTTTTATGAACAGAAGATTTTCTTAACCTGCGGGGTTCCAAATGCTACTTTGCATTGAATTATTTTCCTTGTACTGAGATTTTTTTTTAAATGGTAATATATCAATGCAATTACATTCATTAAGAAAAGATATGTAACTTAGGAGGGTGTAACTAACAGAAAAGGAGCCAAAATCAATAAGAAAGAGGAAGTAAAACAGGGAGATTGATGATAAGTCAGTGCTAGATGCAAAAGGTCCAAACTTTGGACTTTCCACTTGTGGCTTATATAAACTTTCCAGATAAGCATGTTTTTTTCATAGAGTGTCTACTTCTTTCAGTTGCCTTCTGTTCTCAAGAGATACACTGCCCTTACACCTTTCACTGTACCACCCAGACTGACCTAGCTATCTGTCTGGAGTCAATATTATCCATTTTCCCCTCTTCATACTAAGTCTGAGCACCTAAGCCTCATATCATGCAGCAGAAGAATCACACATTCCTATGCAGTATCCCAGGAATAGCTTCTCATTTATGTAGAGGACTAAAGTAGGTAAAATGTGTGAAAGACAATTAAGAAAAGGAGAAGAGGCATCAGTAATGATATGTGGCACTCTGATTGCTGTTCTGTCTCTATAAAGTACTGACAGATGGTAATCAGGTTAAAACAGGATAAAGTGGTAGAAAATTACTAAGACACAACCTTTTACTTAAATTTTTATTACTGGAAGGTAAAAGGGGAATATTTCAATGTTCCACAGCAATTATTAAGATATTTTCACCAGATTTATTTCTTAGTCTTCACCTAGTGAGATAGATCATAACTTTAAAAACCTTGTGACATGTAAGTAACACATTTCTCTGCAGCACTGTGCTGAAAGAAGCATCTTCTCATAAGTTGCCTTAGAAAG